CGCTGAATTATGCATCAAATGACCAAGATGCTAACCAAACAACAGCGCAACATTTACATCCGGTAGGATAATTTACTGTGAGCGATTGCGTGCGGTCAGCAGACGTAACGAATTTTTACATTACGTAAAGTTCGATAGTTAGATGGGCACTTATATTTCATAGCGTTCGCGACACTAAAATGTTTTCTGCAAAGACGCAAAGGTGAAAAATCTATAATACGATGCCGATCATTTGTCCTTAAAAAAGAAGATTTGGAAAAAAGTATGATAATGATCGTCATATTCTTGCACCTTAAAGATTATTTTTACAAATGTGTTAATATTTATGCTATAAATAAACTATGTTCATAAATGTAAATATATATAAATTATTTGTTACAATCTATTTTTTTTTAATTTTTTTTATTGCTCACTTTATTGTTTATTTTCATTCTTATAAATTAAAATTGAAAAAACAATGACAAAAAAAAATTTTTTTTTTGTATAGGTAAGTACTGTACTATAAGAATAATTCAAAATTATTTATGTAAAGTTTCAATTTCAGACATTAGTTACAAAGATTTAGAAGACATAAATATTGTGTTTATTTACAGAACAACCAATTCTTTGTGTCGTAATGTAATTTTACATAAATCATTTCAAATATTTAAAACATTTGTATTAAAAATTGAGATTTTTATCATTATTTTATAATACGTTCCCATACATTTATAAAAGAACAATAATAAATTTAAAAAATACTATTTTTTATTGACTTCTTATTAATTTTTTCAAATAGTGAATTGTCGCTAAAAATTTTCTGTACTATTTTTAAATTCGATCTAGAATAATCTGTATTTTTAATGACTTTTTCATTTGGAAATATGTGCAATATATATATATATATATATATATATATATTATACATTCTTATATATATAATACATTCTTAACTACTTCGAGCGCAATAAAAAACTGAATTATGCAATTTTCTTTACAATTACGTATAATGAATGCGCAATTGTGCTCAAGACTAGTTACGAGAATATCTAAATGATATTCTTCGTTTTTTATTTAAACGTTCTTACGAAAACATTTATATGAATTAGAAACAGCTTTTTAAAGCTCTTTTTGAAATTCTCTGTGACAATCGTTACGTCAAACGTTAGCAAAACAGATCAATACACAAGATATTGTGCATAATTATGTATAATTTGCAAACTCTAATTAAGATAAACGTCAAGACAATATTTGTCATTCACGGGATGTGCATTGAAAATAGTGTCGATTTTTACTTCATAATAAATAAAATAAGTTAATATTTTTCATGCGACACATAATTTTGCGAATAAGAGACAAAAGATGTTTTCCATTTCAACGATGAACAAGCAATTTTACTCAATTAGTAAGTCTACGAGAATACCAATGAGTGTTTTGTTAACAATTATAATTGCACCAATCGCAATTTAGACAATAGTTCAAATTTAGTAAAATCATTAATTATCAGCGCATATTTGCGTAGAAATTACTGTATTATCATAATAATGCACACATCAACGAAGACGGTGATTCTTTGAACGAATTAAGGAAATCACGATTGAATTCCGCGTGCCAGAGCGTACTACACGTCTATCCTTAGACGCGGCTGTTATGTAATTGCTCGGCACCGACAACGGCGATGGTTTGCAGCAAAATTCCTAGGTCGATCCGATGTGTTCGGCAATAGTGAATCAATAACGTCACGTCGTACCACAATGGGGCGGCTTAATAGAAAATCACGTGAATGTTACGTAAGTTGCACCGAAGGCTTTAGCTGCGAATGGCAGATTATAAGTAAAATAAAAAAAATAAACATTTTTTCTTATCTCTTCAAGGATTCCCCGCGGCATTATTTGTTAGTCATGTTAAATCAAGATCACGGTTATCGCGATTGAATGATCTTGATTTATCGATCGGCTGACCAGGCAGAATTGAGGAACGCGATCATAGGAAGACGGTAATAGATATTTAAACGCCTTCTTCTGGAAAACTCGAAACGATCTATCGCACAAAAGCGAAACGCAGACGACGTTGCGAGTGATTCCCGCGGGAATTGTTGCGCCCGTTCCGATATATCAGAGTTCCTGATTCGATATCATGATCGATCTCAGAGCGTCAACCTCTGACCTGCTTTTCAGATCGTGGACCACGCTAGAGCGGCGTCCTTCCAGAGACAATTCGTAATAGGTATTTTCCATTTGATAATACAATCGACACAGGTATCGTTCCATCTTTATTACTCACTAATTGCCCATAACTACCGATGTATTGGGTGGATCCATATATTCGTTCGGTTTTTGAAGGTAAAATGAAACAAGTTTTTTTTTTTCATACAAAGAATGAATTTTAATCAATGATATGATTCTCCGTTTTTGCACTGCTAACAAAAACCGAACGAATATATGGATCTTAATCTTGATTTAACTAACTCTTCTTCTTTTTCTAGTTATAAAAATTAGAAAAAGATGAAGAGTAAATTAAGAACCGGGATTAAAGTTAATTATGTGGCAAAGGATAATATTCTGTTTAAGAAGAAAACATTGTGTTTTTAACGCTTACACGCATGCTTTTAAAAATTATAAAAAAAGAACATGTTGAAAACGTGTTAACATCGATTAAATATGTTTTAAACGTAACAGTTTAAAACGTATTTATAACATGATTTTTATCAACACTAACGTTAACCAAGGTTAGTGCCAACTTATACCGTCGCGACCGGCTGTTTACCTCACGACGATTACATCACAATAACGTCACATATGCACGGGATATGTGACGCCGTTCATTGTTAAAAGCTTGAGTAATTAGCGCGTTCTGTCATATTAGTGAATGACATGATAATTGATTATAAGATGAAACTATCGTTATTTCACATGATTTTTCTTCAAGCTGTGTACGACATGTATTACAGACTTCCTTGGGAGGAAAATTAATAGGATCGCTGATTAAATATTTTAATAAATAGAATTTGCACTTCTTTGGACATGTATAAAGAGGTGCACCTGACAGACGTCAATGTGTTAATCACCGAAGAAATATTGCTGCTAAATTATTGAAGCTTATCACGTTTAGTTAGATTTATCACAAAAAAGATTCTGGCTATTCTTAAATCGATTGTCATCTGGAAATTCCACGTGGCTTATCGTTTTATGAATGACATTGTATGAATGACGATTATATAAGACGATTATATCACGATTATATGTATAAACGACTTTTACTTTATAAGTGAAATAAAACAAATAAAATGTTTGTACTTAATAAAAAATACGATATAAATATTCTATTAATTCTTTGTGAATCCTTTTTTATTTTATAATGATCGCTCAATTTTTATAAAACGTAGCTTGTGGGATATTTGATAATGTTTTCGAATTAAAGTTAAAAATTAAAAATTTTTAATGGTGAATTGAATAGTGGACAGAATTTCAAAAAAATTATCTGATATTATCTGATTATCATAAAATTGGGTTTTAGAGAATTTTTAATTGCGAAGTAGATTAGATCAAATTTCTAGTTCCACTTTATTTGAAACTCATCATGCTACATAAACAGTACTGATTTCCAAATTGACTTTTAAAATCTAATTATAAACCCTGATAACACTCTCGTTCTTGTTTATAGAGGCTACCACTATCCTTTCAAATTCGATATTTCCATGCTACATTCAAACCTAGAGATTACAAAAAACTTAAAATCAAGATAATCACAGTAATTAGATTATTTTTAATTTGAATTTTAGAATTCTGAGACTAGAATCAAATTCAGCGACCTTGAAAGTTTTTAAAAATCAACTTTAACAAATTACTTTGTTAAAAAGCTCTGGCCCTCAAATATTTAAGAAAGAACAGAAAAAGAAAAAAGATAGTACAACTAAAAAGTTACATTGTCAGACAACTATCTTTGAATTAGCGTTTCATTGTTTCTTTCTGTGAAGATTATCATTTCTTTTCATTGAATAAAGGAAAACAACTTCAGTCGCATTGTGATACATTTCAACATTAAAATATCGACGACGGTATCCCACTGAATTGTCAAGAGTGTCAATATGGTAATTTCTTATTTTTCTTTTTAGTTAATAAAGATTTGTTTTGACATTATTTTTGATATATCACTTAAAGTTTAAGAGTATTTTGCTAGAAAAAAATCTTTTTGCTAGAATAAAATAAAATTATAGTTTTAGAGCAAAAGCGAAAGACTTACTACACCTATTACACACACAAAAAAATACAATATCATTCTAGTGTTAAAAAAAGTGATTACTTAATTTACTTTCTTCCTTTAAGTAATCGTTATCTTAACAGAGAATTTTCTTGATAATAATCTTACATTATTTATTAAAAATATATTTAATATTTATTACAAATTAAAAAAAAACTCATTATACACTTAAAACAAAAATTAATTTTCTTTTGAAGAATATTATAAAATGGATGGAAGAAGCGACTTTATATAATAAGCAAATCAAATTTGTTTTCAATTAATAATCTTGATTAAAATATTAAACTTGTATTCAGAATATATTTTAAATAAATTTGATGCTTGTGGGAACTTATAGATTTGCGGGTATATAAATATTTCAATAATAAAATATTTCAAAATACATAGGCGATACTTTTGAAACAGAAAAGTACGTACTGTACGCAAGTAATAATTACTTGAAACATATATTTTTCTGTGTGTAGATAAGAGAGAAAAGAGAGAGAGAGGAGGGCTAAAGGAGACAATAAGCCTAAAGGATCATTTATACTGACTGTAAACTGTTAACTTATGCTGTAAGAATGCAAGCTATAAGAAATTGATCAATCACGGTCGAATGCGAGGAGAATAAAGTCGATTATTCTCCTCACATTCAACTGTGAACAGTCAATTTCTTATAGCTTATAGCATAATTAAGTTAACAGTTTATGGCCAGTATAAATGATGATCCTTAAATCTAAACAAGCTGATCTACACAAGCGAAACAAGTGGTTTCTTCTCACCTTCATATTGTTCTCCACGACGTATTCGATGCTGCACATCTGATAGACAAAATAGGCGCGCATCAACTCCATAGTCGTCTTACTTTTAAAAGCGGCGATTGGGTCGTTAAACTGCAAATCGAGCGGGTCGATCTGCCGAGGCACCGCCGATTGTTGCTGCTGTCGTTCCTTCTTGACGTCATTGGCGGCGGCGGCGGAGGAGGAGGAAGAGGAGGAGGTGACATAGCCACGCACCTGTGCGACCAACCGCAATGACGGTGGTGTCCTAGTAACCGCTGCCGTTGTAGCTACCGTCGCCGCCGCCGTCGTCACCGCGGCGTTCTCCAGGAGGCCGATCACAGCCAACGGCGAAGCTCCGCATTTGACCAGCTTTTTACCGGCGCAACATCGCCGCGGTACGCTCCTCAGAAACGCCATCGTTTTCGGCGTGCGGCAACGAAGAAAGGTGAACGAGAAAGGGACGATGAGAGGGAAGAAGAAAAGAGTGAATTATTGGCGAGCGAGAGAGACCGTCGGCGACGCGGCTGGCGGCTTCCGCGTCACCGAAACAGGATATCACTTTCTTACCGAGGCTGGCTTGGTTTCTCCCTCAGGTCAAACCAAGAGATCGTTACGAGACGGGAAAGAGAGGATACAGAAAAGAGAGAGGGCGAAAAGGACGAGTCGTGACAAATCGCACGGACGATCCGGAACGGATCGTCGATGACAATGCTGGGAATAAATCGAACCTTTTCGAGATCGAGTCGGAAATCTCGATAAGAGAGCCGGACGAGGGTACCCAGGCGAAATTGTCAATTTCCTCGATGTACAGGAAATTAGGATCCTGTCGTTGCTGCCGCTGTTACTGGTTGACGTTGAGGCTTCGTTCCTTCTCGCGATACACTCGATGATGCTCGATGACGTGCGCGTGTCCAGTACGAGAATCGCAGAGCGAAGCGACGCGGCGCGACTGACCGGTGATGACCGGATGACGGCGGCAGCGGTACCGTCGTCGTGACACCGTCGACGTGAGAGCCGATGAGAGCGAGCTCCTCGACGGTGGGAACAGTCGGGACTGTTTGAAGAGCGCGAGTAATAGCACGGCAAATGGCGACCGGCCGCTCTGCTCTCCGTCTCACGACGCGACAGGAATATTGATTTTCGTTCGCCGGGGACACCACGTTCCGACTACGTACGATACCGTGGCCACCGGATCCGCAGACAGCTTAAATGTAACGCGTCCGCGTCGATCGGAATTTCGTCGACGCGCCTCGTCGACCGACTAGCGCGCCGCCGTCGCCGCCGCGTTTCCGCGACGCTGATTGGCTCGTCGACGGGGGTTTCGCCCCCCCCCCCGCCACTCCGATTGGCTGTCTCTCTTTTTTTTACACAAATGTGTGCGCGGAGACGCGCTGCGCACAGTGGCGTCGAATTAGTCGGATAATTTATTACAGCTTTCAATTTTAAATATTAACAAATATTAATATTATAAATATTAATAAATATTGTTAATATCTAGAAGTCTACGGAGGTATTTCCGTCAAGAGAAACATTTCAAAGAAGTGTTGTTTTCAAACTGAAAATGATTTCTTGACATGTGCGTGTATTTAGGAGTCGGTAATATTTAATTTTTATTTGAAACTATACTTTTCTTATTGTTATCCGTGCCTCCTTATTTATATGAGTGATGATTGTAAAAAAAATACAATTTCAATTAAAGTATAATATATATATTGAATATAAATATAGAATATAAATATAAATATAGAAATTTTTAAAGTATATTCGTATAATGTTAAATCATGAATATTTCATTAGTAATAATTTTTTTGCATTGAAATAGCTAGAACACGAACCGAATAATCTGCAGAGGTTATCAGCAAAATTCTCTTTATCAAATAGAAGTTGAAGAAAGCGTACATAGATAACTCATATGAAGCTCAAGATATCGACAATCGATACTAAAATAAATCGTTCCATGTATCGATATCGGAATCATTATTGTAGGTGATTTTTGTAGACGTGGCTCTTGTGGAATAAATCAAATAGACTGATAAGACTTACCGACAGATATCTGCATTCGATAGTAACCGGATATTATTTAACAAGAGGTTTTCTGTTAGAGAATTGCAGTCGGATATGTCATATAACGAAGAACACATTAAAGACAGAGTGACCGAGGGATTGAAAGCTGCATATGTGGTATGTAGATCGACTTCTGTCTTTTCGTTTTTCCATTTTTTTTTCTATTTACGAAATAAAAGTGCATGACGTGACATTTTGCTAGGAACATCCTCTTGAAATTCTTGCCGATTAGTTTCGATTCGAAGATAGCTATTTGGAGTGACAAACGAGGATACTCGTATGACGGAGAATGCAGGGAAAGTTGCAGCTTGCTTTCATCATCTCCTTTGCCATTCTCTTGAGATGCTGCATTACTTATCATTCTCACAGTGGAGAAGGCAAACCCCCTATGTACGGAGATTACGAGGCCCAACGACACTGGCAGGAGATCACATTGAATCTGCCTCTTGACGAGTGGTATATTAATACCACAGACAATGATCTGCAATACTGGGGTTTAGATTATCCACCTTTAACGGCATATCACAGTCTCCTGTTAGGCCACGTTGCAAACAGGATAGATCCTTCCTTCGTGAAGCTGCGAGAATCCAGAGGATTCGAGAACGCTGCGCACAAGCACTTCATGAGACTGACCGTCTTAATTACAGATATTTTTATTTATTTGCCGGCTATTATATATTTTATAATTAATTCACATTCCTGGGACAATCGTCAACAATTTAGCGAGTCTAACATATTCAAATTTACAAGGAGAGACATTGCTGTTTTGACAGCATTGCTCTATCCAGGATTGATACTAATAGATCATGGTCATTTTCAGTACAATTGTGTGTCACTAGGTTTCTTTGTCACTGCTGTAGCTGTTGTGCTGCAAGATTCATTCGTTATTGGCTCAATTCTATTTGTCCTAGCATTGAACTACAAGCAAATGGAACTGTATCATGCTTTACCATTTTTTTTCTATATACTCGGACGTCACACACCTAGCAAGACGAGATCCTGGTCTCACTGTATTCGCATGCTGGTATACGTATCCTTCGCAGTGCTGATGACGTTCTATGTTATCTGGATGCCATTTCTAAAGAGTAAAGATTTATTTTTCAGCACGATATCCAGATTATTCCCTTTTTCCAGAGGCGTGTTTGAAGACAAAGTTGCTAATATTTGGTGCGCAATCAATATTGTCTATAAATTGCGACAGATTTTCACGAACGAACAATTAGCCAAGATCTGTTTAATAACGACAACGTGCGCAGTTCTACCGAGTTGCATTAGTTTATATTTATCACCTATGAGGAATGCATTTATACTGTCTCTAATAAACTCTGCTCTGGCATTCTTCCTTTTCTCATTTCAAGTTCATGAAAAATCCATTCTCTTGGTTGCTGTTCCGGTTTTACTGCATTTTCACAATGATCCTCTCCCTTGCTTTTGGTTCTTGATCATCTCGCATTTTAGTATGCTACCATTATTTATAAAGGATAATCTATACCTTGCTTATATTGGCACAATAATTTTTTATTTTTACTCTGTTTTTTTGATATGGCCCGATCTATTTTACAATGATGGAACAAACAGCTTGTTAAATAAAGATAAATCAAAATTGAAAAATAGAATAAAACAATATAAGAAAAGTAAAGTTCTCTCAGATTTGTTAAATTATAAAAAGTCTTGGCTTTTGCTCGCATTCTATGGATCTATTTCAGGTGTGTTACTTCTTTCTATCATCAATCAATTTGTAAAACCTCCTGAAAGGTATCCGGATTTATTTCCACTTTTAGTATCGATATATTCGTGTGGACATTTTCTAATTTTCTTTGTATATTTTAATTACACCCAACTATTTGTATTCAGGAAAGAGAACGCTGCAAGTAAAATCAAGTCACATTAAATGAGGCAGCTACTGAAAACAGAGAATGTACAAATTGTTACATTTGTAAATAATAAATAAATAATTCTAAACATTTAAAATCGATCGTCATTGCCATCCTTTTTCCGCGACGTTGATTCTTTCGCTACATTTTTTTCACACTTATTTCGTATCGTTATTACAAAAATTGTGTTTTGAGAAAAGATCTAACAAAGAAAAATTGTTAATTCTGTATGAATAATTTAATTCATTATAAATTTGATATATTGATTACGATTAAGTTAATGGCATAATAATGTACATACATATAACAGATTATTTTACATCTGTTATACGTCAATTCTTTTTAGCTGAATGTCTTGCACAATTCATTTTTCTTTTTTTACTTCATATTAGAGAAAAAAAAGAAAAATAAATTATAATACAAGAAATTCAACTAAAAAAAACGGACTTCTGTCTAAAGTTGTATGCATATTATCAGCACGTAGAATAAAGTTTCAAAATCTTAAAATTTTTTATTAGCAGTTATCAACATGTGTAAAAACAAATTTAAAATTTTAATCTTACTTTATTTGTGACTGTTAGTTTTTGTATCTACAGATAATAAATGAATATGCTAAATCATGAATGATTGATATGCATACACGTGTCTTCGTACTTATACTCTTCTTAGTGTGCGAATAATATTCAATGCTAGATATTTAACTTTAATTGTTTATTCTATACAATCACAATTATAGTTATGCTTCTATTAATATTAAATACATAAACATAACTAACATAAATCAAGGCTAATGAGAGTCAAACGCTAGTGATCAGGCGCAAAATCTTAAAAAGTAATAAAAATTATGAATATTTTGTCGATAAATAATGTCTTCTTTATTTTGAACGTTTCAACTCACACACTTTGGAGTCCTCTTCAATAATATAAATATAATAATGTGATACAAATATGACGATTATTTGGGTTAAATATACAAGATGCTTGATTATATTTTTCGTATGTAAAAACGAAAAAGATTTTGCACGATAATATATGTATATATATACATATATTAGCCTTGAACGTTGCCTTAAGATTTCATTTTTAACTTAATTTAATGTCTGTGCGACGTATATATGCGTTTTTATAACATCATTATAATAAATCTTAATATTCTCTATAGTTCCTAGTCTTAACTTAATAATTAAATGAAACATTCGAATTATGTCATTTAATTTAAACGGCATTTATTAATAAGTTTAGGTATAATGTTGTACCGCTATCAAGGATGTTTACATTCGGATGTATGTATATGTGTGTTCTGACTGTTGACATTTAGTTTATCAAATATTTATGCTAGGAAAAAAAACGATATGCGTTCGTTAAATATATATCCGTTGGTGACTTTAGAAAGATATTATTTGCAGTACATTGTATGTTACAGGAAGTAGTGGATCAATCCGATGGTTGTGGTGCGAAATTTTCAGTATTTGTCGTTTCTGATTTATTTCAAGGAAAGCCGTTGCTGATACGTCACAGGTAACATATTATTCTGAGATTATACATCAGTTTTAATGTTTTCTCATTTTAATTTCTTAATAAAATTCATGATACAAAGTTTCAATAATTAAAATTTTGTAACCTAGGCTTGTGTATGGAGTTCTAGAAGAAGAACTGAAGACAATTCATGCTATTTCGCTAACAACATTAACACCAGAACAGTGGGAAAAAACGAAAAGTTGATTGTCGAATCTTGTTAAATCTCTTTTATGGATAGCAAATTAATAACGAATTGATGAAAAGCTAGTATTACTGACTTTTAATTTACACAACATAAAAGATTCAAAAGAGTTTTTACATGATCTTTCTTAGATCATTCGTTAAATAAATACATACTTCTAACAGAAATCTATTATAACAGAATACATTCAGTGTTATATCATTTTCTCAGATAAAAGAATTTTTAATCATAAGAAAGATGATCGAGTTCAAAGTATCTGCACCGGGCAAAATCATTTTATTCGGAGAACATGCGGTGGTATATGGAAGAACTGCTGTGGCGAGTAGCATAAACTTACGTACCACTCTTAAATTCACTGAACGGAAAAGATCACAATGTTCAAAGAACAACATTAAGATAGAGTTCCCTGATATCAAATTATCTTTTAAGCTTCCTTTTAATGTATTTCTAAACTACTTCTTTAAAGATAATTTCAATTATCCATTGGTAAAAAAAAATGATCAATTGCATAGTTGTGTGAGTGCTTTTTTCGATTCGATAAAGGATTCGACAGACAACAGCAACAATGAAATTACCGAGGAACAGAAATTAAGTTTACAAGCGTTCTTTTATTTGCTTGTTTATATCGCTTATGAAGAATGTATCGATATAAAAGAAACTTCCCTTCACGTGCATTTATCCACGGAATTAAAAGTTGGCACTGGTCTGGGTAGTTCGGCATCATTCGCAGTATGTCTTTCAGCATGTTTTCTACATTGGTCGTTTCTACAGAAGGGCAATCATCACTCTGAGTTTAACAAGAACGAGCTCGATAAAATTTCGCAATATGCTCTAAACTGTGAGAAAATTATGCACGAATCTCCATCCGGAATCGACAATAGCGTGTGCACATATGGTTCGATGATAAAATTTCAACACAAACGGGTGATAAACACGTTATCACATATATCGAATATAAAAATTTTACTGGTTAATACGAATATTACTCGGAGTACAAAAAGTCAAATCAAACGAGCAGCGCGTACAAGAGATTTATACCCTGGAATCATCAATCCTATTTTGGATTGTATCGATAAATGTTCGCAAAATGCTTGGGAGATATTTACAGAAATGAATAAAAACGTCAATAAAGCTACAATATTTATGGAAGAGAATTGGTTTGAAAAGTTATCGGTAAATGTCATGTGTGTTTGTGGACTTTAATATATCATTTTGTTACATATATATTTTTTTATAACATTTTTAAAACTCATACATGTAATATGTTGGAAATTGTAACCATTTTTTAATGTACACTTCACAGACTCTTATGAATATGAATCAAGGATTCCTAATTTCATTAGATGTGACACATCCAAAATTAGAGATAATTTGTGCACTGGCAGATATGTATTCATATGGAGCGAAGCTTACGGGTGCTGGTGGAGGTGGATATGCATACATTTTACTGCCGCCAGACGTTGAAAATAAATCCATCAAGCTTTTCTCAAAACAATTACACGAAAAGGGTTTCGATGTCACGATGACCAGTCTAGGTGATAGCGGAGTGAAAATAGAGGATTTAGAATAAATTATTTATATATATTATAATTAAATATGAATTAAAATAAATATTATACAATGACATTCTTTATGGAAGAACAGAGAAAAATATAAGTTTATATATAATATTCTGTATACACATAAATAATAAATCATGTATTTGTTAAATAAACATACGAATTATTACATTAAAAATAAAAAAATAACAATAAAACATTCTTTCACGCTAATAATACATAACAATATTACAACAATATTACTATATAATACACTCGTATTAGCATCATACAAAATTGACTCGAGATGAAAGAATATATTTGCTTCATTCTTTTAATTAAAATATTAAATTTTGTAAATTGGAATTCATTTATAAGAAAAAAATTAATAAATATAGCTAAGATCATTTTGCTCCCGATCCCACGATCTTCGAGTTCGTCCTGGCGATTTTATTTTAATAAAATTAAGTTTTTTGCAATGCGATCTATAGAATGACGAAGACAACGTTGCTTATCATCTGTATAAAAATAATGTCAAAATGATCCAACATACAAGATTATTTTTTATAATATACTTTGCAATAATTAAAATCAAAGTATATTTATATTTGCCGCATACATAAATTATTATCACTATGAAATTGCATTAACATGAATTCAAGAAATAATTATTTTCTAAGAATGAATCTTTTCGTAATATTTATGACTAGTTGTGATATCAAAATCTATAAAGGAAGTTATTCATTTGCGTTATAATTAGTATCTTTTAGAATTCTATCGATCACTACACGGAGAAAATCTTTTTTAGAATTTGGAAATAGTCCTGGGACATTGTACTTCAAAGAATTTTATACAAATTTCTCTTATTTATTAATAAAATTATAATAAAATATAAAATTAGTTTGATCAATTTTACTGAAGTGCATGATAAAAATTTTTTTAATATTGTATTGTACCACAACTACCACATTTTCAGGGTAAATTAAAAAAAATTCTCTCCGTGTATAAAATAAAATTTTCAATATGTGAAACATTAGCTTTTCTTACTTAAGATAATGCTTAAACAAGCTACGTTGTTGATAAATGCACTTACACGAATGTAAGAGATATTTATATAAATTAATCTTCAAAATATGGTCTAAGTCAAAGTCATCTAATTTACTGAGTAGGTATACTATCATTTTGCTGATGACGCAAATTGCCGTTTAGTATAAGATGATCGGTATCAGAGATGCCTCCATCGTTGCTTCCATCTTCCACATTATGTGTTACATTAGGTGTAAGTTGCTTTTCTTCGGACTTTACTTCGGCTATCCATTCATTTATTTCATACGTATACATCTTTCTCTGTAAAACCTCTCGCGTTCGTGGCCGTGAACCGATAAAAAAAGTGCTTCCTCCAACAACCAAAGAGTTGCGTAGATCTTCCAGAATTTGAAAATCTTCGATTATGCATTGCAATTCATTCCATTTTAATTCCACTTTTTCGTGGAGCATTTTTTCTTCTAAAAATTACAAAAAAATTATAAAATTGACGAAAAAGATCTCTATTGCTTAAAGTATATATTTATTACCGTCATGTTTGGAAGTTGATTTTTTATATTGTATTCTAAATCGAAAAGCTTCCAAAAAACTGGATACCACAATAGTCAGTACGATCATAGTCACCAGATAAAATATCATGAAGTATATCCTTGTGTACACGCCCGCAATAAATGCGTATGCATCCATTTGTACATACCAATTATTAACAACTGTTAATTCGAAAAGTGTAATGCTACTCGCCATGAGATTGTCGAAAGTGTTAAGATAATAATATCCCAACTCCGAGCTATCATTGACAGAGTACCGATAGAAATCTTTAATAGGCGTATCCCTATTGAACATATTTAATAAAATCAGATTTATATATAAAAAAGTTAAGAGAAAAAATATATAATTATTGATTTGATACTAACTGGCAGCAATCGCGCATGTCGTATCCGGCAAACAATTCCATTCCAATGATCGCGAAAAAGTAATACAAGACCAGCATGACAATCGCAGTCGAACACATCTGGGGAAACAGAATTACGAGAGTGCCGAAAACATCTCGATAGCGTTTCTTAATCTTAAATAATCTCAGTGTTCTGAGAGGTCGGAACAAAACTAGAAATGTAGCCGACGGGAATATCATAAGAGCGCACATGGCGACGCTGGTCATTACTGTTGTCCCGAAATCAAAGAGATTCCATCCAGAGCTCAGATAAGATTGAACACCAAGAGCTAATACTTTTATGAATGCTTCAGCAATAAAAACTGTAAATTTATTTACACATTTTAATCATGAATTTTTTTACATTTTAAGATATTTGTTTTAGCAGATTATTTTTTTTTTTTACTCACGTTCAGCGAACAACAGAGTATCCCAACACGCAGCGAATGCGTGCACCGATTTCTCAAGACAGTTACTCGGTTCAAAGATTCTTATTATCATGGCGATACAATTACCGATAATGATCATATCTACAAAATTACAAATGATGAAATACAAGGCATTCTTATATATAAAATTATTTATTCATATTATACTTACACACCAAAGTTTCAAAGTAAGACCACTTGATCATAGCATTAGCTCCTTTGCACAGCGTTTGCAAAGGCCACCACAAAGTGCGGTACCATGGTACATCAGAATATTGCAAGGACCACTGAAGTGTATTGGCATCATAAATGGATAAGAATTCCTCGCAATTTAGAGCGCCACTTCCCGTTTTATTCATATGACAAAACATTAAAACGATGTCACATATGGCTACAAAAATTATATATTATTATTGTAGATATAAAGTTATTTCTATTACTTTTAGAGTTCTTTTGTAAAGAATGAAATTTGAGTACATGTTGTATGCGCGTTTGACAAAGAAATAGTACTTAAGTTGATTAACAAATCTTGTATACATACATTTATTCGGAGCATAATATCGCATCAATCCTTCAAATTGACGAAATCGTATCTTATCAGGGTTTTGCTTGGAAACCAAAAGTTCGAAAGCATGTTGACACGCTTTCCTTTTGTGCAGGAACAATTTCTTGAATTTATCGCGCTCGCAAGATGTGAATGTCTCGTTTACCACCGCCAGCATTAAATTCATCATTACATACAACATGGTACACAAATAAGATACAAAGTATATCGCGTACCACTTATTTTGGGAATATGACGGCATCATTACATCTGGAAAACTACAAAGTGCGTTGTCGATTATATTATTAAATTAGTATATTATTATATTAATTATTATATTATTAAATTATATTATTAAATTAATTATATTGTCAGATTGTATCTACTCACTTGGCAGTGGTAAGAAGAACAAACAGGCTGACGAAACTATCTTGCATTGTGGCGAAATATGCGTTTATTTCACAGAACATATAATAGCCCAATACGGTATATACAATAATCAAGAAAAAAAGGAGGCCCAACATATCTAGGATAGGTGGTAGCGTAAAAAGTATTTGCCTTATGAATCTCCTTACACCGCCGCAATATTTCGTGTCTATTAAAAAGATCGGTCTAAGGGCGCGCGTTACACGAACATGTGAGGATTGCCGTACTAGAACTGTCATAGCTTCGAGAAACATGATTGCTAATGTAATGCACTGAAATAGAAATTATTATGAATAAGAATATTCGAAAGAACCTAGCTCCTAACTCGTCAATAACTTAGCTCCATAATCGGCAGCCGTTACATTTTTCATAATCATTTCAAACCGTCATTCTCTAATCATTTAAATTTTATGAGGAATATTGCGACGCGTCTGACATTGCACTAATTCCAAAACTCATTATGTAAGTAAGGTAATAAATCATTACATATTCGTTGCAGTAACCATTACTCATCACGCACAATGCGGTCGTTGATCGTTAATAAATACGATTACTGTCTGATACTCTATATATCGTTGCATAATAATGATCAGTCACAAGTGTACGAACGAGCAACTTTTGGATAATCCGATTATATGAATAATCCGTAACGTGTTTTCATTACAAGACACCTTCGTAAACACGTTACTAAATTATGATGCAGTATTCTGCTTTTTCAAACATTTGTAATGTAGAAATATTTATGTAGAAATATTTCCAGTAAAAGTATCTTACTTTTAACATTGTACGTTTGTGTTTTAACATAGGTGCCCAGCCAGTCCATCTCAGCTTTAAAGTCAATTGCACACCGATAGTAATTAACGCAAGTAATTCTACCGAACCATGTACCCATACTGGTACCTATGACAAAATATACATGAAAGATATCGATAAAGAAAAAGTGATATGCCATTTATCTGTGCATAAATACTTTGAATAGCGATAGAGCAGGCTCTTCTACAAATGCTAGAGACAAGAGAATTAACGAAATCAATAAATCCAATCCATTGTACCAACTGTTATGGACTAAGAAATACGCTGGCATATCTTCAGGATGCCTTGGATGAGAATCAAATTTCTCATTGTTTCTGCCTTCCTGAAACAATAATCACTTTGATGATAATGATAAAAATAATCATATATTAATCTTGATTATCAATAAATTATAACTTGATAGTACTTAACATTTCACATATACATGTGAAATACAATATTGTTTAATTATGAAATACTTACAATGTGAGAAATATAAACTATACGTCTCTGTATTACATAATAACTACATAGTAATTGCAGAATGTAATGTACTATAGAATACAATAGATATCCTTGAAAAAAATAATTGGCCACTCAATTTTCCGCAAGCGGAACAAATACGCACAAGCATATACATGTAATCTCTGTTAATTATTATCATTTTAGATAAGATTTGAATAATCAATATATAGTTACTTCTAAATATATTGCAGCTTCACGACAATTCATTTCCCAATGCATTTTCCAATGCACGTCGCACGTAGTGAACACTGTATTCTCGGTCATGCTTTCAGTTTGACTCGCTTCGCACTTATAATTTAGCTGATTAGTGTTGTTAGCATTGCCAAATGATGACCTTATACGACTTCCTGAAGAAGGTGAGAACAGCATGGAACCATATTCTGCAAAAAAAATCTGCAATTATCTCAATAATCATAACATATTTTTAAAAAAAATCATAAAAATTTCTCGACAAATAATAAATACTGCAATTAAATACTTTTCATAAATTAATAAAATTTCACAAATATAAAGTGTAATCTGGCACATTTGTTAAAGAGAAATGATTTCTACACGGCTACATGCCGTGACTCAACAAAGAGTCTCAGGTAGAATATCGATTTGTCTCGTCCGAAAGAGACAGTCATTCAAAAGCAATATCCTTCCTGTCAACAGTGCGCAATTCACATTGTAGCCATTTCGTACTGCAGGATACAGGAACTTTAGATGTATCTAGGTCAACGAAAATGTTTTAGCGAGTGTTAATCGACTTACGTCGATTCGAGCCATTAGTAATCTCCTGATCGAGCGGCTGATTTGTATCGTTATTGAATCGTTGGTAATTGTTGTCGTGTTCACTGAGCTGCGATGAAGACATTGAAGCGAGCGCGTATCCCTTCCGTGTCGTCCAGCTAATGCGCGACTGCACTGACTGTACTGTGCGCGCTCTCCCAACGTCGGCGCGTCATTATTGACGGGCCCTGGGAGTCCTGGGATCAGCTCTTTGCTTCCAATGTGTTAGTGTACATTCCAACTGCGCGACGTACTAAGCGCATGGGCATATATAGACAAATGTATGATACGCTCCATGCTATCGTCTATCAACAAGAGATACATTGGCGTTATCTGCAATACCAAACCAAAACGCATATGCACGCCCACGTCTTGGAGAGGAAAAGCGAGAAGAAAGTGCAATCTGTCGATCTCCATCGTGTTCTCCATTCATGTCCTTCACAACCCGCGATTAGTTACACCACTGCGTTGCCATCTGCCACTTATCTAGGATTTTTTTTCAACTGAATGTTATAACGGCGATGAAAGTTCTTCTATATTTTTATCTCGATCTTATTATCTTCTTCGCTCAGCGATATAGTGGACTTTCTTTCTAAATTGCAATCGGGAATCTTGCGTATTGTTGGAGTTTTATACCTATAATGTATAGACGTTTACAATTAATAAATGTTGAATTATGTATGTAAAGATTCGGGCACGATTCGTGGGAGCATAGAAATTAATTTCTATCGTTATCTTGTTAAAACAAAATACAAGATTTTAAAGTTCACACAAAGAATAAAGACAGATAGTTAGGATATAACACCTGTCAATTATATATATAATCATATCGTAAAAAATCATATGTAGATGTTTAATAATATATACTAAAAGAGTTAATTGTCCCTGGCCATATAATATTAGATGTAGTAAAAAGAAATCCATTATTTTTCCAATAGATGACTTTAGTAATCTGTATCACGCGTAGACGAGATACAGATTACTAAAGCCATCGATTGGAAAAATAATGGATTTCTTTTTACTACACCTAATAAAAGAGCACAAGAATACGATTCTTTATCTTTCAATGATAACCAAATGCCGCTACATTTCTCGTGCACTTATGCATAAAATTACGTATAATCTGAGCGTTCAAGCAATTTTATGTAATCGTATACTCGGCCGACTCTTATCAGCCGCAAGTATACCGAGCAATTAGAAATAATACCTTATCACAAAATAATAATTACTTCCTAATTATTTCCATAATTTATAAAATTACGCAAAAATTAGAAGAAAGATAACATAATGCAGGAAATTTCAACTTTGCAAGAATTTAAGTAATGCACATTGTATATCTATAATCATAGAAAATAAATGATTTTTTTTAAATGCACTAATGGTCTCCCCTAATTGATTTTCAGCTGGTAATTTAGTATAATTTTAAATTCTTTAAATGATTTTTTTTTATTTAAATAAGAGAAATTCTGTTTTTGGTCATTTTTTTTTAAATATATTGCTAGTCCTGAGTAGCGACCATAGGTCTGTCCTTAAGCCTATTCTTTTTAAGTGAATTCTTGCTCGATTCATCTTTCCTATTTTTCTTTTCACATTGGGAAAAAAGATGGATTGGATGGAGTGCAGCTAAAAAACAGACCTTTTTTTCAGTTAAATTTCTTGCATCATTCATTTTTTGTTCTCTAACATGAAGAGAAAAAGAAAAAAGATAACTCAAGAAATTCGGGTAAAAAGAACAAATATCTTGTAAACTTCCGCCCTAAGGCGGAAATGAGAAAAGTGATAATTTCTCCATTACCTTAAAAAAATTTTCACTTTCATGTTTTTATCTTAGAGAACAAGTTATTTGATCATTAGCTTAGATATATAAAGAAAACACGATTTTTATTTCTTGTGCTATGAAATCAATATAATCTATTTGTAAATCACGTATGTAAATTTCCGTCGAATTCGAAATGCTTGCCGCGTGGCGTACATTACAATTGTAAATTCCACTTGTCACGTGCGCGTACTTCACCGATAAAGCAGTCCAAGAGCGACAACTGAACTACGATCCTTATCAGTTAATAAGTTTCACTTTTTTGTAGGGCAATCTAGTCGAATATTTCTCTCTTATCACGACGTTACTCGCATCTTCGTTCCGTTTAGTCAAAATGATATGTTCAAGGTGATGAATCAACTTATATTCTATGAATTCACGTTACTTGTCAGAGTCTGATTAGTTTGGCTGCGTTGACAATATTAAAATTAGTCGATTATGTAATCGCAAGCATTTCCCTCGATTTTCATCTGTAAAACACAAATTGTTACTTGTTGTTGTTACTCGCACTTCCATATGAAAAAAATATTTTTACAATTGATACACTAATGTGATCGTAGATGCGAAAAATATGTACGAACAAAAACAATTCAACTCGATCTACGGAGTTTAAACATTCAGGGCGATGTCCATCGCATAGACTGCATCGACGGCACTCACTTCGTAACTGTAACATTAAACGACGAGATAATCAACGTTAATGATGCTTATTGTGATCGATTCGATAATGAATGGCGGGAAGTCCAAACAGATCGTGATAAGGTGCTTTTTTATACACTGAGTCAGATCGTTTATCCAAATTTCGACGCACCACGACCGGAAAAATACGAGTCGTTGTATACTTTGGTGGACGAGTCCGATATTATTTTACTAAGATGGCAAGGAGGCAAAGCGATTGGATTTTATACCGTTAAACCTATAGGTAATTATGTGATGTTAGAAAAATTTAAAATGAAAATACAGATGCAATATTCTTAATTGTCCGTACAGGTACAGAAATATTCTCGACGAAAGAGAGATACATAATGCCTGTAGTAGATTCGGTGTATATTCGTTCGGAATATAGGAATCGAGGTTTCGGTACGGGAATCCTATCGGATGTAATCGCACGTTTCCCAAACGAAGACATCGGTTTCTCGAAGCCGATCTCCAGCGGAATGTTGAGAAGTGTGTATCCAGTTCCAACATATTAATATTTGTATTTATACATAATATGAACTTTTCTTATATATAGTATTGAAGACATTTCTGACGAATCGCAAGGAGTACCGATTGCGTTTCTGGGAGATCGCGGACTGTGATGTCAATGAGTCTCAGCAACTGATATGGTGTAATTTAAAAAGAGCAGTTTTATGACAAAAAGCATTTAGAATTTATTATAAAAGCCATCGCATGGCGTAACAGGATATTTATATATTTGTAATTATACATCATACTTGTAGATGCACATGTATGTATATATGTATACCTAGAGAAATATACATATACGTACGTACGTTGTGCATATATATATATATATATATATATATATATATATATATACTATATATATATATATGTATGTAGAAATTTTATATATATATATATAAATGGAATATATTATTTTTAAAAAATTTACCTTTACTTAAAGAAGAAAGGAGTATTCAAATTGCCTCATAAATGTATGAAACATATCTATATTATTTAATCCCTATAAATAGAATATATTCATTTTATTTTAAATTACTCTTAAATTCGTTTAATAAAATTGATCCTATAACCATTTTTTCACAATTCACGCAAACTTCCAATTGTCCGGCGTCAATGAATTTTATTGTCACCAATACCAATGATTTAGATGCTAAAGTATGGGCGGCAAACCTGTAAAAATTTGCAATGTTTTAGTCTTAATTAAGATTTAAAAAATACATTGAAGAAATGTTTATAAAATAAATGTAATTAGATTTACAATAAACGCATATCTTACCGAATAACTTCATCCTCGTTGGATACTCTTGCGACATTTGCAGTTTCAAACACTTTTTGAGGAAGAGCATTTTTGTTTCTAGAATATGGTATTTTCGCTATGTGCTCGTTCATACCTTTCAATTTGGCCTTTTCTGCATTGAACATGCTTTCAGGCAAAGTTACAGATCTTATTATTTCTCCGATCGGTGGTTTAATACTGACCGGACATGAATATTTCTCATCATTAATCGTGAAGTCAATGTTGAAATTGGCCGGTTGAGTGGAATCATTAAAATTTACGCCTAACGTCGAAGCTAACGTAGCGTTTACATCAAGCGACGATATTTGCGTAAAATCATGAATAAACATACCCTTTTGTAAATTCTAAAAAAAAAAGTAAACACAAAATATATTATTTCATAGTAACATATAACAGTAATATGTTATATAACACTTGGAACATTACTTACTTTGTTTCCTATTTGAATTTCCTTAATGACATCGTTGCTTTCATTAAAGAATGTTAATTCGATACTAACCAAATTTGAACTAACTAAATGTTGCGATCTTGTAAATCTATATTCAATTTTTAAACCGTGCCCTATAATGCTATTTAATAAAGTAGTCTTTTTTAATGGAACGTATGACGTCGATACTTCTCGAATACCATCTGTGATTGTTGAATTAATTGGAGTAAGAAAACCACCCAAACTAGGCGTCATCACAGGAGTCATTGGAACAACTATATAAACAAAAATGATATAATAAATGTATTAATATTAATTTTTTGAAATTCATTTCTTATTAAACCAACCATCATCCAGATCTAATAGCAGATCAAAGTTGCTTTTTGGTTTTTCTTTTACTTCTTGTTTAATAGCTTTCGGTTTCTCTTTTTCGTTTTCTTGAGTTTCGCTTTCCTCCTCTAAATCTTCAGAATCTGACTCTTCATCGCTCGACGATTCGCTCTCAGAATCGTCAGATTTTGTTTCATTTTTCTTTCCACTATCCGTTTCGGATTTATCTGATTCACTTGTATATTCTGAAGAATCGCTATCTTCGTCTGAAGATTCGCTGGACGACGAATTAGATGACTGGTTGTCCGATTCTGAAATTAAGAATAGAAAATTAAAGATAAATTTAAGCACATGATACATGAATAAATGTTATCGGACTGTACCTTCAGCGGGAGTGCTTTCCTCATCACTATAAAATGGTTTCTCCTTTTCCTTGTTCTTTTTCTTTTCCTTTTCTTTTCTATTATGGCGCTCTTCTTTAAGCTCTTGTGCAGTAGGCGGCGCGACATCTCGTACAGATGGATCTTGCGTAACTTCCGGGAAAGGTGGTAAAGGCCGGTATCCTACGCATGGCATATCCAGGTAATGAGACAGAGTGCCTAATTGATACTCCGAGTTTTTAAATCTAGATGTTAAAGTTGGTGCCGGTTTCGGTGCAAGGAAAACTCTCTTCGCGAACTGAGGAAGCTTCTTTACATCACCTTCTTCCTCGAAGATAAAATGCCGTAGAAAACGCGCGCGGTCTCGGATATCGTAGTTCTGATCATATTTGGCAAGTTGGAAGACATATTGACAAAACGGCTTTGTTTGCGAAGGATTGTTCAAGCATAATTTCACGGCCAAATTTAAAGTTTGCAGCTTCACTATATCCTGCTCGTTCACAAAACTTTTCGCCATTTTTCGGAGCACATCTGGTGCTATCTTAGGGACTCTGTCAGAGTATTCGCCTAGGAGCCACAAGATAGATGCTCTAGCTTGGGGCACCGTAATAAAATCCATTAATTTAGCCATATGAGCGATAATGTCTTTGTGTTCATTTGGCTGCGTTTGCAGGAGCTTTTTTATTACCACGACACTTTCTGCCACAATAGCCTCTGTGAAAAAATAAAAAAGCATAACATTTAATATGGTATAATATAATGTAGCATGTGTACTAAAAGAACTTTACCATCTCTATTGCTCAACAATGATACCAATCCATTGAGACACATATCAGTCACTTCTTTAATGTTACTTGCACATCTACCGATTGCTTGAATGCTAGCACCGACAAATTCTTTGTCACTGCTGGAGATGTATGTTTGAAATTCTCTCAGTATTACGCTGATGCTGGTTTCAGTTACCAAATTCGTCAGTATATCGAGTTTTAGAAGTTTTATGTGAGTAGGATCAGAAGTCCGCACAAAGAATGATTTCAAGAAAGGCTCAAACATTCCCTGTTGAACACAGAATAGAATGAATACGAATCAATTATAAAATGTCAATTGAATAACAGATTAATTTGTATCTTATCTCGGTACCACATTTACCTTTCTCGTAATTGATATACTGGCAATACAATGAAGCACAATACTCTGTACTTCTCTATGGCCTCTCAGTAATCTAATTAGTGCCTTTGCAGCGGTCATAACTTCGCTTCTGGGAGCTGCATGATGATATAATTGACCACCCGCCATTACCACAGATGCATTTCGACTTTGTAACAAAGGTTTCGTGTTTCTTAACAGCAAACGATGATCGGGATCTAATGTAAACTTTGGTTTCTTTGTATTGGAAGAATCATCAGAATCGGAATCATAAAATGGCCGATTTTCGTCTTCTTCTAAATTCTGCAAATATTTTTAAAATTATTATAGGACTATGTATTTAACATCTCCCTATTTTCTGTTTCGAAGATATATATATATATATATAAGTTCTGGCGTATCTAGTGAGCATGTTAACAATAACCACTTGACCCCATTCGTCAACATCCACTAATAAATTACACAATTTTCTATAATTCTTATGAATAAGATCTATCCTTTCCGGACACACTTCTTCGAAAGCCATTACTGCCGAGCCTACCACAAGGGTAGTTTTATCAGACAGCAATTTTTCAAGTACGCCTATCAATTCTTCTTTTTGTTCATGGTCCAACGAGTATAATTTAGGAATAGCATGAGCAGCAGTTTTTCGCACATACGGTGACATATCACTAGCCGAGTCTTTAATGGCCAACATCACAATGGGCACTATCATCGAAACTCGTATACTAGATAATACCCTCAGAGCGCTTGCTCTTATGAGCTGATTGGGATCTTTCAGAGCCCTTTGAAATGTTGATATGGACAGAAGTGCCAAATCTTGTTGATCCTCTGCATAACGAACTAGATAAACGTATACCAGCTTTTTTACCTCAATATTCTTAGATACTACATTTTTTACAACAGCTGGAAACATTTCTGATGCATCTTTTCCTTTAGCCACCATCTGAAGGAAAATTATCGTTAGTATTACTACCAATCAAGGAAAAATATTGCATACAAAAATGTATAAAAATACTATATTGTATGTAGTTATGTAAATTTCTCTATTTTCATATATTTTTCAAGAACAAGGTCTTAAATCTAAATCATATAATTACCCCAATTATACGTTTCATGGCTTCTAACTTGAGTCCATCCTTGTTACTGTCCAGCATCTCCTTAAGATCATCGTGCCTGAAACAGATACACTTTTATGAAAATATCCATCTATGGTTGTGTTTGGAGAATACACTATCAGTGTTATCCTGTTTTACATATAATAAATAATAATAGTTGCTTTTTATTTATACCAGATGACTTGGATAATTCTCTTGTGATGTCATAACTCAATTGAATACACATTCTAATAAATGAGATTCAACTAAATTTTTTATAATCTATACAAACTGAACATTATTTGCTTTACAAAATGTTAACTTACATTAAAAGTGAGGTTATAAATCTGTGTTGTTACTCAATAATTTTGTCACCAACAAATTTTGTAATCAAGTAATTACATTATCTGAATATAAATTATTCATATAACTTTACTTAGTATCACTTGTGCGAAAACAGAAAACAACTAAAAAAGATGTGACATAAGGATATTGATAGAACATTCCTCAAATGCAGTCTGTATGTCATATTAAATATAAATGTGTTTCTACTAATAAAATAGAAATAACATGATACAGATGAAAGTACAATTCAATATTCATGACAGAGGTTTCAGTATGTTGCAAACTGACTTTAAATCATATTGTTCTGCGGTTAAAGGAACGATCTTATAGATAAACGAGATCACTCAATGAATCACTTCTAAGCTAATTACTTCTTGTATTCGGGATGAAATAATCCACTCATGAAGGAAGGAATTTCCATCGTATCAAAGAGATCCGCATCTGGAGTGGACGGCCTCTCGACACTGTAAGAGCCACCATTATTGGACATACTCGCGGCTGCCGTCAACATTCTTCCGTTTTATCTTATGCGAAACAATTCTTTTCCGAACGTAAAAAAGAAAAAGAGATCAAGTATCCCGAAATTATCCACGCATCAGGACACTCGTTCTTTGATTTTTGACAGCCGTCTTTAGCGAGCGGCCATATTGTTTCACGATTCCACATCACGGAAAGTGTAGCTGCACTATCATACACTTTCCGCGCATCAATACCACCGTTCGTGGACGTCTTTTCAGCTGAACTTCTCGTATGGTCTTTTCTCTTTTCCTCTTCATGTTGAAGAAAAAAAGAGAAAAGACGAAAGATGCAAGATATTCAGCTAGAAAAAGAATAAGTCTAAATTATATTGCGAAACGCACCGCAGTGAATATTACGATTGATTACGACGATATCGCGGATATCGAAGAGATAGCAAGTGTTTTAATAATCAGATTAGTCGTGCACGCTGATTGGCTGATTGACTCTTGCCAGTCCCGCCATTCGCGCGGCTGGCGACGCTTCGTAGTTTACGAGACGCTACAGCGCTTGTCGTTTGTTCCGTGCGCGGTTTATTTGTAGATATCAGACGAGAGGAAGAGATTAGAAATTAGACTAACGTTTCGTCGATTTACTCAACGGACGATTATCTCTCAAAGGATATTTCAAGTCAAACGCGTTATTCATTAATCTGAAAATAATTTGGCCGTTGCTTTTGCGTTTCAACAGCGCGGAGTGTAATATACGATATTGTCGAATTGCACGATTTATATAATGCGATCAAGTACGTAAACATGATTTATTAAGTAACAGAATGTCGGGGTGTGTTGATTGCTTTTGCATTTCGCGGAATTTACATGCTCAAGTTCATGAATGTGTTTCGAGCGTATAATTTTTGAACGGTCCGTTAAACAATTGCAGTTGACTCGGCGTTAACTTTGCATTTTAATTTCAGGAATGGTGCGGAAAGTACGACGCGATCGTTGTCCGCGTTATTGCGAGTGTCATGTCGAGGAAAGTCTTATCAAACTGACAATGTGGTTAGTGTCTAGTGAGAGAAAGTGGTGAGTGTAATTAATTTATATATTGTAATGTATTCCATACAACGCACTTTATACATCCATCCGAGAGATGAAGGTATCCTAGAAAAAGATGAATTAGTTGAGCACCGATCTGTAAAAGCTCCGTTTACACTTATTGTCATTCGTCTCCTTTATACTACTGTGGGCAAAAAGTATCGATAATTTGTTTGTTTTTCAAAAATTCTTTATTTATTCATCCACATTCGTATCATCCCCCTCAAAGTAGTCCCCCCCGGTTGCAATGCAACTGTGCCAACGCTTTTTCCAATTTTCGAAACATGCCGCATAGTCGTCTGTAGGTATGGCCCGCAGCTCACTCGTCGTTTTTTCTTTTATCTCTTCAATCGTCTCGAAACGGTGTCCACGGAGTGGCCTTTTGAGTTTTGAGAACAGCCAGAAGTCAGATGGTGCTAAGTCAGGCGAATACGGTGGTTGTGGAATGATATGAGTTGAGTTTTTGGCGAAATGGTCACGAACTACGAGTGATGTGTGCGACGGCGCATTATCGTGGTGAAGGAGCCAAGAGTTGTCGGCCCACAATTCTGGTCTTTTTCGGCGCACGGCATCACGCAAACGACGCATAACACCCAAATAGTATTGGCTGTTGACGATTTTCGAGCACCAAATCTCGGATTTTTTGGACGTGAATCACATCAGTTGATGTGGATGGCCGTCCGGCACGTGGCTCGTCTTGAACGCTCTCTCGGCCCTCTTTAAACATTCTGTGCCATGCAAAAACTCTTGCTTGTGACAAAGCGCCATCACCGTATGCCTTCTGACACATTCTCAACGTTTCGGCTGCAGAAATTCCATTCCGGACACAAAATTTTATCGCACTTCGTTGTTCCATAATTTCAGACATTTCAAAAAACGACAAATCACTTTTTACGTGCTTACAAACAGACGCTTATCTCAAACACTAATGACTATTTTGACGTGTACCTTGGCGCAGCTGTCACTGACAGAATTGCCAACTTCAAAATAAATTCGGTTGTCCCTATCGGAAACCCCGGGAAATTTAAATTTGAAATTATCGATACTTTTTGCCCACAGTAGTAGGGTCTACAATAGAAATCGCAAATAATCGTAGAATCTCAGTTATAGTCGCAAGAAATTCACCAATTATGGTCAAATGTATTAAGGATAATAATCAACTATAATAGGTCAATTTTCTACTTTTTGAGACCTTAGGACCATTCGATTTCCATTGTGGACAGCTCCATATTACATTCAATTTACGCTCCAATTTTTTTTTTTGGTCAGGACTGCAGTGTCGTTATATTATTGTTCTCTTGCACAGATTCTATATACATAAAAAAGTACAATGGAACTGTGTTATACAGTTTCCGATAGGTTGAAATTTATTGTTCCTTGTTGCTATTCTTGTGCTTTTTAATTGTGTCACAGGCTTTAGCAGCCCATTTCTACTATTGCCTATTCCTCTTTTAATTAATTGAATCGTGTATTTCAATGATTCAGAAATAACGACAAAAATCACATCGAGGGAATCACATCTAATGAAACTAATGATCTGAACAACCTGAGAGGAAGAGGAGAAATCTATGAGAGATATCAGACCCCGACAGAGCAACCTTGCGGTAAATATTATTTCTTACTTATGGAAAAATTAATCGGTTTTTTTTATTTATTTAAATTGTTTTTATTTCAATGTGTGTTAAAAATAATTACAAGGAAAAATGTAAGAATAAAATTTTATAAAAAAATTTATTCTTATAAAAATCTTTGGAAAATATATGATTATTTTGATAAACATAATTGAAAAATAAATAAACATTTTGCGTAAAAATTTTTCAAGAAATAGTGGTTATTTTAATCGAACTGTGCTTTAATTTGAATCTTTTATCCATATGTTGCAGAATCGTCGTAGCTATGTAGCTGATTAACTCCACTGTTGCGCATCGATTGGTGAGCAAAAAAACATTTTATATAATCTTCTATGTTTTAGGTAACGTATTATCATTAAATTAAATATGTTACTCAAAGTTCGGATTTCCAAATTGATAATTGTTGAAATCAAACAACCAAAAAAAATTCAGGCACGCGATATAAAATTCATTCTAATTAAAATATCTGTCGAGAATAATTAACAATCGCTTGGAAACTTTTATTTAAATATAATTTCCATTTATCATATATTTAGTAAAAGAGAGTGAAAAATTGCTTTGCGATATTACTGTTTTCTCCGCTTTGTTTTTTCTTGGTATATATTTTGCATAGAAATACTATTAAAATATTCTCGATGCTTTTTTTTTAATTTTTAATATATTTTTAAATTTAAATTATTCTAATTTTTAATTATTTTTATAATGTGTTGTTATGCAATTATACTCTGTAGATACAGTTTAGAATCAATAGAATCAATACGTAACACAGAACAAAATTGGACACCATTTGGTGAATGTGTTACCTTTCTAAAATATTTATGGTTGTTTAGTTTTTTGACGTACTTGTTTTGGACAAATAAGAGAACTAATAAATGTATTTTATTATTTTAAACGTGGACACGTTCACTTTCAGGCTTCTTTCTGGAAAGTAATTTTAATGTAGACAAGTTCATGTAATTAAATTGTATCAGTAATTAATAATACTTACTCTTCAGTTATTATTAGGTTTGGTTATAAAAATTATTGGTTATAAAAATTAGTTATAAAAATTAGTCTAGAACTAAGCTATCTATAGTAATATCTTCATGATTATGAAAATTATGTCAATGTCTCTGTGAGATTTTATTCGCTAAATGTTTGAAGATTTAAATGATTTATGACAGAAAACTATAATGTAATAACTTTATACAGAAATGTAATAAACAAATTTAATACTGAAAGACAATAATTATTTATTTTAAATATTAAAAGCACTGTTGTTCAATATTTTTAGTACTCCAAATAAGTAATTATAATTATTGTCTTTTAATAATAAATGGGTAGTATTAAATTAGATATCTGTAAGGAAAGTCTCACTAGGCATGTCTGCAGATTACTGTTCATAAATTTTACGTGTATATGCCTATCATTACATGCGAATTATAGCTAATAAAATAATTTTAACGTTCTTATGTTTCATAAAACATTATTTTATTATCTTGCTTTTGAAGAAAAAGGAAAGAATAAAAGATAAAAAATAGATCATTAAAGAGAAGTCAAACGAAATGATTGTGTTACATTCAAAAATAGTATCCAACAGTATAACAACAGTTATTTTGTCAAAAAATAAACAATTTAAATATTTCATATATTTAAAAAGTTTTTGATTTTTTTCAAACTTCGATCTTAAGATCTGTGTTAAAATCATTGTTAAAGTATTTGATGTTGGGAATTTTGATAAGTAAGGCTTGTGTAAATGAGTTAAGTGTTACTTTTCCGTCTTCTTTTTTTGGGAGCATTAAGATTGCGTTAGCTCCTATGGCGCTAATCAACTTATCACTGATGGCATTTCCCCTGGCACGAACTAATGCACAGTTTTTTTTCGAAGTCCAGCCCAAAGTTGTCCATGTCGCTCTAGAACGACTATGCAAGATGTACTCAGTTTCCATCTACGGGATTATAAAATTATAACAATATATATCGCATTTTTTTTTCACAACATACGAGGTTGCGATAATCTTACAGAAGCTGGTACTATAGCATATTCCGTGTAGAAGTTGAAGTACATCTCGTTCAAGAAGGTTAAAAGAAATATTCGCGCAGTAATGACAGCGGATACTGGATTTCCTGATAGACACCAGAAATACTTCTTTGTGTTATCAATCTCGCACGTTGCAAATATCGTCGACTTCCCCGGTTTAATATTTACATTTCCTAGAGAAATGTGTTTAAATTTTAAATAGAAGGCGTATGTATTTCTCTTTTGATATATTTAATTATTGATAAGAAAGACATTACCGAAATGTATGTCTGCTTTATAATATTCCTCCAAAATATTTTTCATTAAATCTCTGTTATTAGTCGAGCCTGTTGTCACAAGTATATCTACTTTCTTTAAAGCTTCATCAATTTTATTTTGTATAGGTGCTATCCTGTGAAATGTAAATTATTCATTGAATTAATTATTATATATTCGATGAAAAAAGTGAAAATCAATTATAATTAGTAAAGAGTATTAGCATACAAATTGGAGATAAATTTTAAGTATCCTCACATATTATTCACGATTCCGAAATCCAAAGAATTGTAACCCTGCTCTTTAAGTAATGTAATTAGAGTAATTCGATTAATATCATAGGTAAATCCTGGTGTTAATATTTCTCCAGGTTCCCCTAAATTATTTCCGATAGATAATACACCTATAGGTGTATTTTTAATGACTATGACTTCTTTGCGACCAGAAGCTGCTAAAAGTCCAATCTCCAATGGACCAATACGCGTATACGGAGATGCGACAGTTTTTCCTTTCATTAATTCGTAACCAACAGGTCTTCAAGATAGATAAACAGACGAATAAATTAATTGATTTTATAAAGAGATAAACTCTGTATCGTTGTGTTTATTGAAAATATTGAATTTCATACTTAATATTTTCGTTGAATTGTGGTTGAATTAATATCTCAATATGCATGTCGTCATTGTCTTCAAATTTTTTTATTAGTTTTGTATCCTTCAGTTGTACAACCGCTGTTGCTTCTATAATTGAACAGAAACGATAGTTAATTCTTTACTGCAAATAGATCAGTATCAGTAATGTGTATAATTATTTATATATATATATATATATATATATATATATAAAAAATATATATATATATACCATTGGGAACAGGATCTCCGCTATTTATCCATACGCATGTCCCAGGTTCAAGCGTCATCGGAGAGAACTAAAAAAGTTTTGTCTCGTAATTCCAGTTTGTTACATGTATATGAATCTGATACAACTTACCGTATTTTTCTCGTCCTGCTGCAGCACTTTCCTTACACCTTTTCCATCAGTAATTAGTACTGCGTATCCGTGTTTAGTGGAAGCATTAAATGGTGGCAAATTATAAGTAGATTCTACATTCTCGTACAATATTCTACCATAAGCATCATTTAGCTGCACTGTTTCAAAAATAATTTTATTTTTATTTTCACTTATTATTTCACGTATCTTGCCCAATGCATCTGTTATAGAAATCATAGGAAATGATTCTTTATGGCGTTTAATCGTATTCGCGTAATCGCACGTCTGTAAGAAAATTTAATCGTACTTACAATATCATAAAATTTTTACTTTATCTCTAATGCAAAAAATATTTTAATTGCAAACTTACAGGAAATAAATAAGATTTTCTGTGGCGCTTGACGGCAGTTTTGATTTTCTCTTTCTGTATTAAAAACCATAATGTATATGTCATAAAATTGTATGTTATTGCTAACGCAAACAATACTTTACCTCCATTGTAAAATTATCGCTGGAAGTAGATGCAATGTCATGTAGCGGAATATTTTTATCTTTGTCTATACGTATCAAATATATCGTCTGCAGTATCATATTTACAATTGCTACAAAACATTTTTTTGTATTTTTGTGGAAATCAGACAAATCAATGATTAATGTTTGATTTCGTATTCCAAATACAGTTCTAAAAACAAATCACAATTATAAAACTTGTAATTATAAAAATCTCAACTTAAGTAGAAAGATTTACTTATGTTGCATAAAGTTCAGACTCGTTTCTATGTTTAATAGTGATCTTGTTACTCTTTTAGAAACTTCTTGGTTATCGCTAACATTTTCAATTGCTTCTTTTATAAGTTGTCTATTAACACACTTATTATTACCAATAATAAGAATAACATCAGCCTCAGTGCACGTAAAAAATAATTCTGTCTACATCATATAAACAAAATAAATTTAATGATCAATATAACGATTAATATAACACGAAGAAGATTTTTAATATATCTGTAGTTACAGTTATATCAGTTTTAACTGGGTTTATTACTATCATGTCAAATATTTGTACATTTGCAGCCTGAGTTGATAGCACATCTCGAATGTCATTATGAATGTTATTAATGTTAATATTTTCATCTGATGGATCACTGTTATTAATATCATTATCTACAACTTTAATAATCTCACATTAATTGTATTCTATGCACTAAGTAATCATAACAGAATTAGAATTTTGAAAATTATGACACGAATATTGAGTCTGATGATCAAATGTATTTTTTATTAATACATTTATTAATACATTAGTTTCATACGTGTAAACAAAGAAACTGTTAAATTCTGTTAAATGTGACAAAATTATAAAATATATAAAAATTAATTGTATTCATTTATGTATTATATAGAAATATTAGTGATCAAAGAAACTGTCACAAAATATACTATTTTTAATTTTTAAATTTAGCATATATAATATAATTTTTATTACAATTTGTTATTTAAATAAATGAACTTTATTTAAATATACACAGTTTTCTTCAAGAATAGGATAATATGTATGAAGAATATACTTTACAAAACATACTTGCTATAATTTCGAATTTGACTACCATTTTATCCTCTTTTATCGTTTTATCGTATATATACTGCCAGTTACCACAGGATTTTACCGTTTCGTGCGTATTATGTTTTGTCGCAGCTACCACGTTCGTCGTTTGGGCTGGTTCTAACCGAAATAGGTTACAGAAATATTTCGGTAACACATTGTTTATATTTCTTCTCTTTTTTTAATAGTAAGATTGTACTCGGACAATGTCAGCTTTGTTTTCAATGTATGTATGTTTAATATACCGCGGATCTTTTCATGTTTTAAATAACGAATAGACACTTATATAAATATATATAATAATTTTATATATAGTATATTATAATATATAATTTGTAATATATAAGTTCAAAAAAAAAATTATTTTTAACAGAAACACATTTCTTATTATAATGTTATATTTAAAAAATAGACTTTATTACATTATATATGCGCAGTGTATACAAGTGTAATTTAATGGAGGCGTTTCGAATTATGCATGAAACGCCATTATTTGTTCTTGTTGTTCACCAAATAAAAAAGAAGAATAAAACGATACATCATGTGCTTCATGCGTAACTCGGAACGCACCTAATATTACATGAAGAATACATCCCAAAGTCATTGATGCAACAAAAATCAATAGATAAGACTTCGGGATCTGTTGATACGCGTTTGAGCGATGCTTATCAATACTTTATCACTATACAATATCCACTTTACAGATCTCGAAATCTTACTCACAATTTTGGCTCTGGAACTAAAATTGGATAGGCCTGATCTAATGCAATGAAATGGTATGCAAACAAGAATTACTATTATAATCTAACTATTTATATTTTAAAATTAAAACTATGTAAGATTGAAAAATCAAAATTCATGAAAACGATAATCACAGTACTTGAAAATTATTTGAAATTTAGAATCTTTATATAGTTCACGGTGAGCTTTTTCAGCGAAATTGACCATGTGATATATTTTATGAAACATACTACAATTACTTAAGAAGGTGAGATTTTTATGATTTTAATCTCAACAATAAAAATAAGTAATAAAGTATTATTCCTTTTTCATATTGACAATTCCTGGGCGCTCAATAAATAAACCTAATACTCTTTTGTTAGATGTTGTTTTTTCTTTGTCCTCTTTTGGTAATATCAAAAGTGCGTTTGAACCTACGATGTTACATAGTTTATCTTTGAAAAGATTACCCATGCTACAAGCCATTGCTACATTATCTTTAGACCACTTCAAATATGTACACGCAAGTCTAGGACGCTGATGTAGAATAAATGGATTATTTACCTACAATTTTAAGAACATCATAATATTAGATGTATCTTTCTATATTTTATGAGACTATAAACTTACATGAATTGGTAATACAGGAATTTCCGCGTATTCATTGCCAGACATGTTTTTTAGAAAAGGCAAAAGGAGTGCTTGTGCGATAATGAAAGCAGTTACTGGATTTCCCGACAAACACAAGAGATATTTTATTTTATCATTGATCTTGCATGTAGCTAGTGTGGTTGACTTCCCTGGTTTTATATTTATATTACCTGAAAAAAATGGATACAGTTGTAAAAGGTTTTTTATATGTTGAAAATTAATGAGAAAAATAAGAGATACCAAAATATATTTCGGCTTCAAAGTATTCTAATAAGATTTGCTTCAATAAATCTTTGTCATTAGCAGAGCCTAATGTCACAAGTATATCTACTTTATCTAGAGCTTTCTTGATGTTCTCTTTTATAGATGATGATCTGGAAAAATTAATTACTTTTTTAAATTATTAGATACCGTGAAAAGTTCGTGTCATTTTATCAAGAGATATTTATAGAGGAAAAAAACAATACGAACTTTCCGCGGTACCTAATATTTATATAATTATGAACAAAATTTTGTAAATAAAAAACTATTAAAGTGATGTAACAGTTTGCATATTTGAAATTGTAAAAAATTTTCAATGCTCTCACGTATTATTCACGATTCCAAAATCTAAAGAAGAGAAATCGTTATTTTTTAGCAGTGAAATTATAATTATTCTGCTAATATCGTAGACGTATCCTGATTTTAGAGGTTTTCCGGGTTCTTCTAAGTTATTGCCGATGGATAATACACCTATAGACAACTGCTGAACGACTGCAACTTCTTTATGACCAGAAGCTGCCAAAACTCCCATCTCTTCTGGACCAATACGTGTGCATCGTTTTAAGATAAGTTTATTTTTCGTTATGTGATGACCAATAGGACTTCGAAATAAATATACAGATAAATAAAATAACTATTTTGATAAATAAAAATAAAGTATTGTCTGGTATGAAAATATTGAATTTATACTTAATGTTTTGCCCATATTCTGGTTTACTCAATATTTCAATATACACTTTGTCGTTTAGAAGAGATTTAATTCGTTTTGTATTTTTCTCTTCTACAACTGCCGTTGCTTCTGTAATCAGACACAAATGGTAATTGATTCTTTATTATAAATGATGGATTAATGTAATTATAATTTCTAATTATTTACCATTAGGAACAGGTGCTCCACTCTTCACCCATACACACGTTCCACGTTGAAGCGAAATCGGAGGAAACTGAACAAATTTTATTTAGTTCTAGCTAATTCTAATAATTGTAACTTGCATATACATGTGCAACAAAAATATATATGTACATATAAAATATAGATATATTCATTGAATTTATCTTACCGTATTATTATTATTCAATATTTGTCTTATTTCTTTTCTATCAGATACCAACACTGCGTATCCATGTTTTTTGGAAGTTCTAAATGATGGCACGTTATATTTCGAATAAACATTTTTATGTAATATTCTACCATAAGCATCACTTATTTTTACCGATTCATTATTTTCTGTAATTGCATTTGTTATGGATACTTCATTCAATATCAATAATGCATCCTTTAAAGAAATTAGAGGCGTCCATTCCTATGGCAATTGCTTGCATTATTATATTCTATATTCTACAAATATCTTTAATTGTATATATTTATAATATTATAAAATTATTATTTGTTGCTTAGAGTATCTTACTTCTGCAGCAAGAGTAACAGAAGAAGTAGAAGAAGATTTCTCCAAAGTTTCAAAATAATAAAGATTTATGTTTGCATCTTTATCTTTTATCTATACAAATAGATTAGTCTTATAATCTGTGTCTATATCATCTTATAAATAATTGTTTTACGATATTAATTTTAATATAGACAATATACTTTACCTGCTCTGAAACATTATTATCTGAAGAATTAAGAAAATATGCATTGGTAAGTAGTGACTTAGTCTCTGTGTTCTTATCATCTTTCTTGCGTATTAAATGCAATGTATTTATCAATGCATCTGCAATTGCTGCAATGCAATCATTGTCTATGACGGGCAAATTAATGATTAACGTCTTGTTTCGTATTCCACATACAGTTCTAACAACAAATCAATTGTAAGAGTTTTATGTGTGTGTGTGTGTGTGTGTGTGTGTGTATGTAAATTTCAAAATTAATAAAACGTAAATAAAAATAAAAGTTACCTATAACTTGTTATCTCGTTCAGATTTTTTTCTATGGTGTTTATCAAAATTGCTATATTTTTAGAAAGTTCTTTGGGATCAATAATTATAGTTTCAATCACTTCATTTATATATTCTCTGTCAGTAGCGTCAACGTGACCAGTAATAAAAATGACATCAGCTTTATTATTTGCAGATATTGAAAGTAATCTTTTCTATATCAATTTTATAATAAAATAAAATTTAAGACAAATATATTTAATAATACAAATATATTAAATTTATACATATTTATTATAGATATAATTACCATTACGGTATCTTTAATTGGTTCTGCAATTATTACATCGACTATTTTTAGATTAAATACAGTATTCAATGTGTCATGAATCTTGTCAATAAAATTATTAGATACAATAAAATTATTAGATTTTTAAAATATAATAATTAAGTTTAAAGATATATGTATATATATATTTTTATGATTTATCTCAATATTTACAAGCTATTAAACATGACTTTAAAATAAAGCTAGAAGGTAAATTTTCTTTGTTATACTGTATAAGCATATTAATTATTATAGATATTAAATAAGATATATTAAATAAGTTATATTTCTGTTCATATTATGTTTTTATTGATATATTGTTAGTGTATAAATATAATGTTTTTAAAACATTTTTCATTATAATTTTGTATTTAAGAAATGAACTTTATTAAGTTATATATGCAATATTTATAAGTCTGACTGAATACATATGAAAAATACATGTTGAATCATGGCACATACTAATTATAATTTGAGCTGTTGCCATTTTCGCTCCTTCAGATATCTTTTCGTATTATTATATGTAACTGGCACTCAACTTTCGCTATACGTTTAATCCCAATTGTCACGTTCGTCGACTGAGCTGACTTTGTCGAAATGATGTTTGTGATGATGGTTACCAAACGTTTTGTGACGAGATGCTGTTTATATTTTTTTTCTTTCTGAATATTTAAATTGTATTCCGTAACGTCGATTTTATTTTTATAATTTAGTGAGAATACACATTTCGTTATAATTACGTAAAAACTATATGTATATATATATATAAAAATATATTTCAAATTAATATCAATAACTTATAAGAATATAGAAGATTCCATTTAAACAGGAAAAGAACAATAAAAACATTATATACATATAGATACTAGAAATAAAATAAATTATAACTTATGCTTACCAACTAATAAATTAAAGAATTCAATATATTAGACTGACCATTTATATATAAAAATATATTTATCATAATTACACAAGGAATTAATATTATATTAGTTTCTTGTGAAGAAAAGATTCAAGATTTATAAAAGAAATATAAATTTAAAAAAAATCTCTATACAAGCGTATATAAAAATTTGAGAAGATTTAAATGTAAGAATAGTTCATTATCGGAATTATACGTGCGAGGAAAAATATTTAGAATAAAGAATACGCGAATAAAGAAAAAGAAAGATCAGGAACACCGTAGCATTCATTTTATTTCTAAAATCACAGTCGCGAAATGCGGAGAAATCCGCGTTTGTAGAAAAGCGCGGGCATGTAACGCAGCACCATCCAACGGATTCCAACGGAACTATCCGATGCGTCGGAGCTTTCATGCGACGCCATGAGGCGGCGCGCAAGCGCAACTCGCAATCGTCCGCCCTTTTCCCGCCGCGCTGACGCTGACGTCGCTGACGAGTGTCGGGACTGTCGGGCGGCCAGTAGCAGCTGACCGATTGGAGCGTTCGGAGTAGTTCCTTTCGTACTCGGCTTCGCAGTCTTCGCATTCGTGCGTGTCCACGCGAGCCCGTATGTCTCACGGCGATCCGTCAATCGTCTTACGTCAACCGACACGCGTCGTGTGTGATCCGAAAAAGTAAAGCCGGCGCCGAAGGAAGAATTCACGAGGACGCCGCATCTTCTGCGTCGATTGCGAAACTAGTGAAAGGCGCGCGACACGCGGGACGAAGACGACGACGGGTCACGGGTGGAATTGCCACGGTCAACGGAACGCCGGGTGAGTAGCGATCTTCGTTTCACCTTCCTCCTCTCGCTCGCGATCGCGTCGCCGATCTTCGTCGTAGAGCGCAGTGCGACTGGACTATTCCTCCCGGGTACATGTCAAGTTTTTCACGTCAACTTTCTCCGATAAGTTTTTTTATAACGCTCATAGAATGCTATTTATATGACGCTCACCGAACGGTATGTACGATCGCACGACGCGCCCGACGCTCCTCTCACGAATCCGTGGGGCGATCAGTTGTGTCATGTCGCAGTTTCGTTACGTCGCAGGGACGAAGATGCGTGCGTGAGTGCGTTATACTTGCGTGCGTGAAACCAGTCGCGCGCATACAAGACTTTCGCGTTCTCCGGGGTGACTGACACCTGATGCGTCGATGACCGTGCCATGCGTAGAAATATGGAATTCATCCGTCGAATAGCGACATGTCATGCGAAAAGATCGCGCGTTATTTATTTTTGTCCGATGATCCAATGATAAAATACCGCCGCATTCCAACGCCTCGCGAAGGATACGATCATCTGCGTTACGCAAACACACACATTTTTTTTCAAGCGGAGGGAGGACGCGCGATCCGGAGAAAGCGTCAGATGGCGTCGCGTCCTTCCGGGGAGAGCTATTTGCGCGGTGTGCGTGAATCGCGACTTCTTAGACCACGGCCGGAAAAAAATGCATATTCGTGAATGACCCACTGAAAGTTTGACGCATTGAGAAAAATGTCTGGTTGAACTCGAATCGGAAGATTCTGATCGCGTCGGTCAAAATTCTGCAGGTTACTGATGGTAAGGTTTTGACTGATGTAATTGGTGTGCGTGTGTGTACGTGAGTCAGTTTTATGTGTGTGGGTGTATGGTTTTAGCTATTAATTTATCTCTTGTATTGTTGTCTTATTCTGGTTTTATTACTGGTAGGCTTTGTAACAGCAATTCTGATGCCTAACCATTTGCAACTATTGTTTATTTGCTTATGTTTATGTTAATCTATAGTCTATTGTATACTTTATGTCTATTACTCTGTTAACATGTAGTCTTTTTCGTATAACTTTGTAATAAATTAAATTAAATTAAATTAAATTAAATTAAATTAAATTACTTCAACTGGAGCTTCCAAAATGTTTTCTCTCAAATATTTCAAATATCGAGTGAAATTTTCCTCGGAGAGGACATTTTGGAATATAACTTGAAATTGTAATAGATTCAACCAGAAAATTCTAATCCGTCCATTTTCAAAATTTCAATTAATGTAATCAGACTTTTTCTAGTGCGATGGTTTTAAAGATGTATTTTTGTAGCGCGTATTTTGCACGTTTAATGCATTCGTAAGTCATAAATTAACTGTTATTCTCGTTGTTCGTACATTTTTTATACGTTTTATATATTTGATACACTTTTTGTATATTTTTATATATTATTCAATGCCGAAAAACTAAAATATCCCGGAATACCAAAGTATGTCGACGCTGCGATTTTAAATTCTAACGGGTTTGTATCTCGGCATTTTATATTCTAACGCGGATGTATCAGGATTTTAAATTCTGATGTGCACATGGTAGGAAAAACACATCGAATACGACTTATCAATCACCGTTAATCGCATTCATATCTGAGGAACTTCGAACGTAACATTGAAAATGAACGTTTCCACAGTAGGCGTAAAATATTATAGCAATATAATATATAATAATAAAAATGAGAGAGAAATAAAGAACATAAAATATTAATCTTTTTTTATTATTAGGTTTTTTCATCGAATCTTTTTTTATTAATGATTTGCGGATTATTTAACTAATAGTCATAAATTTTTAGTTTTACACAGAATAACAATATATATTTATTTACGTCTACAGAATTGTAAAACTTTGTTTTCGACATAACTTATTTAACTAGAGTTGTTTTTACCAATTTTTTTTGTGTAAGAGCTGTAAATCCTAGTGTATAAAATTGCAGCTACGAGAAGAATCATTAATAAGTTAAAATCATATAGATTTTAATGTATAGCTTTATATCTTTGTTGATCAGAATTGATTGCGTCTTAATTAAAACGCAGAAGCAACCTGTGAATAGTTTCTAAAATATAAACGATTGTAAATGAAGATGCGAATGAAACTTCTGGGAGTGTTAAATTAAATATAATGAAACTTCATTATTCATTTAAATTGACTTTACTTTCCCGAAGTTTGAATTCAACGTTTAATTATAATGAGAATAGTATTGAATATTATACGGTTGTGGCGAAAGATGACGATTTTCTCAGAAGTTCTTCGGATAGGGGATGAGAGAGGAAAAATGCAAATTTATTGAAGAATCTATAAGTTAAAATTGAAAATTACAAAACGAGATTCTGAAACAGCCTGTATGAACAAGATTATAATAAGTATAAGAGAAATTCTCTGGTTAAATTCAGTAATGCTATTAATTCTCGCGACGCCGCGACGAGGGAATATTTTGAATAAAGTTATTTTATAATATTACATTTATATTTTATGTAGATATTTCGGATATTTTAAACATTTGTTTACAAACATTTGTAAAATATATTCCTATATATTACTGTGCAGTTCCGATACTAATCGATTGTATTACAGGCAACTGTTTACGTTAATTTTCGTTTTAATTAATTTAATTAATAATTAATAATTAATAATCATAAACTACGAATTAAGTTTTGTTTTAACGAGAACAATACGCCGACAATTTATAAACTTATTACTTTACTTACTTTGTGTATTTATTAGAAACGTAAATCCTGTTAGAAAGTTTTCGAACTAGTTTTATCGCTTCAAAGAATGAATATACATATTTATCGCAAAAATAAAAGATAATAAATTAGATTTCACAACTTACTGTTGGCAAAATGCAAGTTAAAAATTAAACGAGTTGGGGAAAATGAGATGTGCACTGTCGTGGAAACTATTCTTATTAACCGTACATTAATTTATCTTACTAATTTATCTCGATGGACGTTACTATGAAATGAAAGGATACTAATCTATGAGCCAAAGGATCGAGGATTTAATTGAAAATACGTGTACTTTCATCTTTACGAAACAAAAGCTCATTGACATATCTTTTGTATTGCCGAAGGAATATCATAAATTATTCTGGCCACGCCGTAAAGTTGAGTCTCTTTTGCTGTTACGATATTGTACGTCATACGAAAGACGCAATGAAGCTCGGACGTTACGCAAAATAAATACGCGATACATACACACCGCTAACGGCATTGCGGTGCAGCTTGCGAACTAAGTCAATATCATAAACGTAATACGGACTGGCGAACGAAAACAATAGCGGTCACTCCGAGAGAAGAAGAGTGAAATAATCCAAACGGAAAACCGTTGAGTCTTTTTCCGCAGGCTTATCGGAAATGTATCTGCATTTGTATCTTCATCGTACGATTATTCCGCAAAGGAAGCGCAATTACGAAGTATATTCTACCTGATTACATGCAAGCTGTAATCTCCTTTACCGCTCTTTATCGGAGTACATCCGTCTTGCGAAACGAATTGCAGTGTTTTTTTTTTCTTTTTTCGCTGCACAATTCATCGGTTTCATTCCGATGTCGTTCTCTCGGTCGTATATCGAGTCGTATACAAAATATTGATTCTGTATCCATTTTCACTGTCAAGGAAGTCAGATGCGTGTAATTGATAAAGAAATTCAGTAATGCTACTCACATTTCTTAGAAAATGAAAAATTATTTTCGAACGTCTTTCATATCGCTTTATAAAGCTAATGTAAAGATTACTGTTATATTTCCGCTTTTTTTTTCCACGATAAAAATAATTAATTATACTTATATGTATCGCTAAAAGTTTATCGCAGGGCAGGCTTGGGAATTATTTTTTATTGCAACATTGCCACAATGTTTTACTTCACTGTGATTTTACATAAGCCGTGGATACATTACATTATTATTTTTATTATCACATTCTATATATCGTTTATTTGTTACAACACAATTCAAAAAAGTAAAGTTTCCCAGAAAATGAATTTTATTGTTTTGAATCATTAATTTTGAAATAATAATTTTAATTTAAATCATTAATAATTTTGGAATAAAACTGATTGTTTAGCAAAGTATGTATTTTTTTTTAAATGTGTTTTTTTTTTACATGTTCGTTCTTTTTCAGTAAGCAACTCCAAAATAATACTATTTACTGTATAGCAAATATATTTTTATAACAAATAAGTGATATGTATTATCGTATAAATATAACGTAAATATAAAAAAACTTCGTTACCTGATAAAATTTATGACGGCATATTTTACGACGGCATGTCGCGTATACGCGTAACGTGATAATATTCATCGTGAAGCGAAATTGGTATAATTGGTAGGTCAATAACACCGAAATGTTATTACGGACACAACGATAATAACGAGTGTGCGTCTAGCTGGATACATGAAACCTGCAAGCATACGTAACTAATTGACCCATTTAATCACACGAACAATGTGTAAAACGAAACGTTAAAACGAAACCTATCTGTGTCTCGTAGCAATTTACTCCCTCGTCGGTGTTTGAATAATTTGTTTTCTGAAAATTGGAGTGTGACGAGCGCAATATATGTTGCTTTATCACTTGAGAGTAATTAAGAGCTGTAATCTGTAATTGTTATACACGCGATTTGTTACGAAAGAATTGATACGGAAGAATTTTGTTCGCTTGGCATCTTTAAAAAAAAAAAAAAAAAAAAAAACAGTATATTCAGGACGTGCATAATTCAATCGTCGTTATCTGCAACATCCGTTAGGTTTATCATCGTAAGGACGTAAGAGAATTTGCATTCATCCTCTCTATAATTAGCTTGATTAATCTTACTTGAACGTTTGACGGTAACTAGTGCTGGGAGCGTTTCCTACGTCGTTGGAATAATCATTATTGCGATCGTTTCGGGGTGATATACGGAGATCAGCCGATAGCGACGAGGTAAAATAGCGATCTCGTTGGCTACGGCAGATACGGTGGATTACGGTAGCCGGCTATTTCGAAT